CCTGCTCCCTCTGTCCAGAACAGTGCCTGTAGCTGTCTCTGTGTAATCCTGTCCCTGCTCCCTCTGTCCAGAATGTTGACATCACCAACTTCAGCAGCAGCTGGGCGGATGGCCTGGCTTTCTGTGCTCTTTATCACACCTACCTGCCGGGACACATCGCCTACAGCAGCCTGAGCCCCGCAGACCCGGTAAGTGTCTGAGCGCTTCTGGAGCTGCAGAGCTAGGGCTCCCTCCCGGCAAACAGAAATACTTTAGGACAGGGCTGCTGGCTGCTCCTGTGTCTCGGCTCTTTGTATATCCAGAAAGCTCATAAATTGACCCTCTCTGGTCCAAAACAGTACTGTGTGCAATTCCTCATCCTAGAGCTGATGTGCATTTCTCAGTGAACTTCACACAGGAAGGACGAGTTGATATTAGGAGCTGAGCAGAATCCGCAGGAGTTTTTAAGTGGATGGATACATTTCCTCCTGTATGCACACACACTCCTGGAATGCTTGAGAGAGGACAGCTGAACTTTCTTTTCAAACTGGGCTTTAGAGTTTGGATTGAAAATGTGAAGTAAATTGCACTTATAAATTGTTCATTTTATAAGCAGCGGTTTAACTGAACCCAATTATCTGTGGTCGGAACTTTGTGAAATTGTACCTGTAACTTGATTTTTATGAGGCTTGTTTCATAATTCAACACTGTCAAGTGCTGTGGCCTGCTTCTGTGTGAAGAGTACCACCTGAACCAGAAGTGTTGTCAAAAAGGCTGATTTACAGGGAGATTTTTAACTGTCAAGATGCTGTGAGAGTTCAGACTGAGCACATGAGGTCGAGTGCGTTTTAGTCCCATCCTGCGAGGGAGGTCACAGCCTTAAGGAGGAGAGGCCTGTGTGCGAGTCTGTTCCTCTGAACCCAACTCCGACACACAAACAAGCCCAGAGCCTGGTGCTGGAGGTCAGATGAGGCCAACTTTGCATTCAGGCCAAGACAGACAAGTGTTTGACATGACTCCATGCTTTATTTCAGAGAGAGAATCTGAAGCTCGCTTTCAGAACGGGGTTCAGCGTGGGGGTCCCCTCGTCTCTGGTAAGGCTCCTCGGCAGCACACAGCAGTAACTTTGATGGGAAGATTTGGTGGGGATTGATGTGGTGGGGTTTGGGGTTCAAAGCTCTTTCCTTCAAATAAAACCTAAATCCCCGTTTTCTGAAAGATATTGTACACATTTGCAGGTGTCAGCCCAGAAAGAGCCCACATGTTGCATAGTGCTGGAATATGTCCCAAAGCTAAATCTTTATTCTAATGCACATGAACAAAGTTCATTTCAAATCGAGGTCCACTGCTTTTCTGTCAGTCAGTATTGAATAAAGCGCAGGCTTCATTGTTTATAAAAGGTCCAGAGTATCAGTTTCATGGTAGTTCATTCTCTGTTCCCTCCACTCTCTACAAGACGGAGAGAGATTTCTCCAGTTTTGGATTGTTCTATTCGATGTAAGAATTAGTATTCCCCGTCACTGTAACAGTATGAAATGTCATTTCTGAAATGTCCAGACTGATTAGGAACACCCCTCCAGTCACAATTTGCAGCATCTATCCTACTTTTTAAGTACTATATACCCCTGGGCATGTGTTTCAGTTCCTTGTGTCTGGACTGTACAGTCCATCAGAACTGTCTGCCTGGGAACCCTCTGAAGGAAACACTTCAAACCAGAAGGACACTCCCTTTAAGCACAAACTGTTTGATACGCTCTAGTATTATTTAGGCAGTCATGAAATCTTGAGTGGGTTCTGGACTGGGAGGACCTGGAGGAAGAGAACTGCAGCAGAATCGGGCTTTGTCTCTTGCAGACTGTGGAAGAGATGCTGAGCACAGGAGGTCCAGACTGGCAGAGGGTGCTGGAATACGTGGAGAGCATCTACAGGCACTTTGAGATGTGACCCCTTCACCAGACTGCGCTGCCCTCTCCTACAGCAGCAATGGCTGTACTTGTGGGTTATCTAATGAGCACAGGCCTCGACAGACTGAGTCGGACCACGTGGGCAGACCGATTTTTCCCTCCTCCCAACTCCAGCTGGGCAACACGCGCACCAGTCGTCCTCTAGTAACATCTCATCCCTCACCAAGACATGAATTGCCCACCCTCGGATCTGGTGTCCTTCATCTCCTTCCTTGAGTTTCCAAACCAGGGGTTACGCAACACGTGCCACGCTTTCCAAGTGTGGCCATCCAGGCTTCATCGCTCTTGAACAGAGCGATCAACAGGCGGGGCCCAAGATCAGCTGTGAGCACAGAGTCACGGGCTAAACCGCCTCGGGGAAGACGAGGGTCTGTCTGCGGTTGTGCGATGAGGGATATGCAGCTGTTGCGCAGCTCAGAGGATGAGGTCTGTATGTACTGAGAACGTGAGCCTTGGTTTTCCAGCCATTGGCCATCAAAAGGCTTCGGAGCTCTAGAGCTCTTATTCTTTGTGGACATTTACCTCGCAAACAGCAGTCGAGTTCCTGAGGTCAGGCCCCACCGGTACGAGGAGAACACGTTCAGTTTGTCTGCAGGGCACAGACTGTTGAGATGACTGGGGCCATTTTCAGCATCATTTCCACCAGGGGGCAGACTCTGCACAGTGTAAGTGTGGCCCCTTATTGGTAAGCAAAGGTTTCTACATCAGCATTAGGCTTCATATGGTTTTAATTTTCTTAAATGTGAGTATTTTGTAATCACTTTCACCCTGAAATAAAAATGGATAAATCTTAAACCAGAATAAAGCAGAATTATTTTATGTCCAAAGGTACTATATCTGGATCTCAAGTTCCCTTTTGATGAGCACTTGAATGGAGACTAAGACTCATTTATTTTGAGGAGATAAAGATACGGCTCATTTCGGCAAGCAGGTGATGGGCACCGCCAGAGTCTTCACTGACGAGCTGCAGGTGTGCAGAGGACAGGGGGGTACTGACTGCCAGAGCAGGGACAGGAAGACGAACTCAAGGGGAACAGCTCATGGTCAGCAGCAGAACCTGGGACTGGGTCAGCGATGTGGATCACTTGTGCGCTGGTTCATTAAAGCTCAGAAAGTATCGGGGTAGTCCATTGCTATTCAAAGGCAATGTGGTTGCCCGTGACGTGACTTGACACCTACAGCATGCTGTTATGCAGTGAGTGAGCACTGGAAGTGCCACAGCTGAGGAGAAAAATGTGCACTGGGCCCCTCTTGCTGAGGCTGTGGAGCACTGTTGCACTGAAACAAAGTTGCTGCCTGGGATCGTAATGGGAGCAGAAGTGTGACTCGCAGCAGGACACTGACACAGGAGGAGCTATTCGGCTCATCTGGACCGGCTGCCAGGAGTTCAGTGAGCCCAAGCTCTCATCCAGCCACTTCTTGAAAAAAGCCAAGACATCAGTTTCAAAAACTTGGCAGTGGCTCATTCCACACTCAGTCTAAGCTTGATTTTAAATGCACTTCTACGTGATTTCCACTTGTCCTCTAGGTCTCGTTTCACTGTCGAGATGTGCTGGGTTGAGTTTGCCAGGGATGTTGCAGATTTTGAATACCTGCAGCAGCACATCTCCTAATGCGCTTCTCTGTTCAGGACTCTTGACCAGCACATGGCTGCTGCTCCACAGCCACCAACCCACTACGTCATCTGCACCAGCCAGCAGAGAGCAGGCAAAAAAAGACATGTCATAGAGGATATTACTGCTGTATTCTACAAGGCTTGTAAACAGAAGAAACAATGTTCATCTTAGGAGCACAAAACATAATTTAATAAACTCAGACATTTTATATTGCACTGCCTGCATTACAAATGGTCACAAAAAGATTTTCATTAGTGTTTGATAAAACTATACCCGGACAATCTATATGACAATGAATACACTGTATATATGGAATGTTGCAAAATCACACTCCACCCTAGTCTCACCAGAGTAAAAAAAAATTTAACGCAGAGGAAATGACATACAGGAAGAGGCCCATCTAAGAAGCTGTGATCCCGCCCCCCACAGGTGGAACAGACATGGGTGGCAGAAGGAGAGACTTGAGTTTGACGGACAGGGCAGCGATCTCCGGGTCCTGAGACTCGTACATCTTCACGAGGCGGGCAAATTTCAGGACACCTAAAAACACAACGTAGCAATAACCAACACAGCACCTCCGCATTAACTAAAACAAAAGAAATTTCAAACCCAAACAGGCCATTCAGCCCAGATACTATAAGTGCATCTGCAGTTTTATCCTGTAAGGAGAAGTCAAGGAGTCGCAACATAGTTCAGTGAAGATTTGAGATTAGTCGTTTAATTTGTTACAAAAATGGGCATTTCTGGAGAACACTGAAACAGACACACCACAAAGTATATTCCCCACAGTGTCCCCAATTACAACAGTGTTACAGCAGGTTTTACAATCAGAATCCAGCTGTGGTCACCCTGTGTTACTATCACGAAAGGAGGTTTATAAATGACCATTACCAATCAGACTGGAATAAAAAAAAAAACATTTTGACTTTTGGTACAGTGGCTGTTACTGATAATGTTATCCCTGCCTTTAGGTTCTTTTGAAGGTGTCAGATACAATAGCAGGTGTCTGTTTAAAATTCACTCAGGCCCACTCAGGAGTAATGACCCCTGGCCAGAGTCAGATTTTACATTCCCTCCTCTTAGTTTGAACGTTTTTTTTTATACGTTGATACAAATGGAACAATTAAATTTACATGGAATAATTATGGTTTTGGTTGATATACAGTATTTTGGCATTTCCATCACAAATGTATTCGACCAACAAAATGATGCTATTGTGGATGTCAATTGTGCTAGGTCCTATGATAAATATCTATAATCTTTACCTCTGTGAAGGGCCTCCATCATTCCTGCTTCTCTGTGTATTAGATCAGCCATCAGTCTCTTTATACAATTCCTCCACCTCTGCTTTGTTCAGGTACTGTGTAACCACAGACATACTGCCTCTGTCACTCTGGCACCTGCAACCCTGTCTGAGCAGGACTACAGTATCACAGTG